AGATTGTGAGTCGAGCGCCTTATCCACCTGGCCATGCCGGGCTCCGAATAGATAATTCGGTGTAATGATTTAGAATGAAATGAATGAAGTAATACACAAAATCAATGATATCCAGCGACTAAAATAATAAATGTTTTATGTGCATGACATATGTTATTTTCAGTTATGAACTGTTTTAGACAAATTTTGTCGAACCCGCGACCCTCAGATTGTGAGTCGAGCACCTTATCCACCTGGCCATATCGGGCTCCGAATAGATAATTCGGTGTAATGATTTAGAATGAAATGAATGAAGTAATACACAAAATCAATGATATCCAGCGACTAAAATAATAAATGTTTTATGTGCATGACATATGTTATTTTCAGTTATGAACTGTTTTAGACAAATTTTGTTCGAAGCACTACAAAATCATAAAATATGACTTTTTTAACATCTATTTTGTGTTATACTATATCACGTCACAAGACTGAGTGAAATAATTTAAGGCACGTTTCACCATGATTTTTTGATGTATGATTCGATCCATAGAATATTACGAGAAATAGGCACTAAATATGAAGATAAATTGTTAGGATACTAAGCTGTATTAAAACCATTTAGTCTTTACTAAAAACCATGCTTTTGATTTCTTCACTCATTAGTTGGTACACATCGGGTACTAAAACTACTTATTTTACGCCGTTACTCCTTACTCTGTCAAGAAAATTGGATCCTCGTGAAAATTATTGCAAGTCATTTTACTGATGTTCACAATAACGACCCATATACAAAATAAAAACTAAAAGTGAAATACAAAATTCATTGAAAAAAAAAACACGCTAAACCCAGCACTTTGGAAGCATATTTAATATTTTTTCTCCTCTGTTGCTAAACATTTCTGACGAAAAGTCATTCTTCAAAATGCTTTTTTCGAAATTAGTTATTATTTTTTAGCTAAATGCAAGGTCTGTCGACGTTGGATTTTGTTCATTTTGTAATCCTCTGTATAAGTATGTGTATATAGATGTGCATATGAATTTTTAGTTTTCACAGATAATGAACAGAAAAAAAAACGAAAACTTTCTAATAAAAGTTATTTAACATTTGCTGTCTTAGGGTACATTCAAATTCTAGTGAAGCCTAATTTTATATTAGTTAATAATGCTTGCACCCGCAAAGAATTTCTTTAGATATCAACCAATATCAATGAATAATCTGTTTTAAAGTTCTATGTATAAAATGTAAGAGATATACAGGCAACATTTGTTATATATGTTTATACAGTTGATTATTATATAACTGTAAAATGATTTATTAGTCTTATTGATAAGCAATTTCTGACTAAACGGTTTGTTTGTTTATAATAAAGCACAAAGCTGCACAATGGGCTATCTGTGCTCTGCCCCCCACGGGTATCGAAACCTGGTTTCTAGCGTTGTAAGTC